TTAGCCAAATGATTGCAGCCTGGGTTTTATTTTTAAGTGTCTTTTTAGCATCACACTGTCACCTATAATAATCCACATGACTTGCACAAGTGGCAGGAGACCCTAATTGGCCCCGGTGAAGGGATTTTTCATATGTTTCAGGAGGGAAAGGATGAGCAGCATGTGCAGTTACACTAATGGTTTCATTTTTTAAGATCCTGAGTGTTGGTTATGTGCCGTTGTTGTTTTATTGTGGGTGGATTAACAGTTGCTCATCCCAAGTCGCGGGCAGCTTCCGCAGGGGTGAGGGGGCTGGGAGGTGCGTTCCATCTCGCGGCTGTGACCAGCCCTCTTGATTGGTTTTTCTCTCTCCTGCGGAGGTCAGTAACCAGCTCCGATATGATTTCTGCTGAATCAGTTTGCTGGGATCTGTCTTGTCCTCCCTCCCAGCGTTAATTATGTCACCAAATGAGGGCTGAAATACAGAGCTTATTGCAAGAGCAGAAAAATGTATTTCTCTTTGTTGGCCGGTCTTTCATCGTGACTCTCAGCTCCCTCCCTGCCTCCCCAAGGTCTGTAATCAATAGTCATGTGGCTCCAGGTCCTTTATCTGGGGGAGAGGGGTGACCTTGGCAGTGCTTGCTTGTCAGACTTCAGAATCCAGAGTTAATGTCGGGGTAAAAGGACTTTATTCTCTTTCCCTTTCCAATGAAATGCACTTCTTGTTTTAAAACAACCCTTCCTTGCAGAAATGTCTCTCTCCTGTCTTCTGGGAATTGCTGTTGTTCATCTTCAGGAAAGAGAACTCTGCCTCTCGGTGACCAAGAGTAAAAGCAAAGTTCAAACAAGTAACTTCCCACCCAAAACCCTTTCCTTAAAGGGAAACTAATTTTTGGTCCAACTTAGAATGAGATAGTGTTCAAGTGCCTCCACGTTCCCAGAATTTCTGATGTTTGTGCCACAAACCTACCCCATGGTGCTGTGGGCTCGTGGCCATGTGAAGATGAAGACATGCTCGCCTCCACCCTGGCACAAGAGACAGGCTCTGTTCATGGTCACTGAGATGAAACGAAGGCTGTTAGGTAAGCCCAAAACGCTGGTAGTGGGGCCTAGACCGCACGAGAAGGGAGGGACGCTGCGTCTCTCAGCCGTGGCCATGGAGAGAGGACAGTGGGTGAGACTGGCACGTGGACAGCACAGGGAGCCAAGCCACGTCCCTGCAGCCCTTTTATGAATCCTGCCTCCACCTTCTGGGGCTCACCTCACAAAATATGTTAAGAAGGTGCCCCTTAGGTGCCCCCCACACTCCCCCCTGCGGCATCTTACCAGCTTAGCCTGGAAGCGGCTGCAGCTGATGCTCACTGTTCCCAGTAATTATGTTCCACGAAGTCTCCGCCGAGCTGAGCCATTGCTCCTAGGAGAAACAGACCATCCGCGGGGAGCCTCCGGTCACAGCATTTGCATAAACAGGTAAGTGTAGACCCCAGCGCACATGCGTTTCCGTTAAAGACACCTTATTTAATCCATATGTGGCGCTGATTCATAAACACTGAACTCACGGCTGACAGCACTTCCTGTCACGCCTGATGGTGCGTCTCCTCCCCAAGGCTCATCACAGCCTGCTTGCGTCAAGAAGCCCGGGTCAGCACAAGAGCGGGGGCCACGGAATGACCCCGTGATGGTGCCGCAAGTGTGGATCTGGGGGTTACAAGCGGATTGTAAGGGGTTGGTGAAGCCGTAAGTGTGGAATGCGCGAACCACAAGGATGAACTCCGCTCTAAGCCGCCTTGTACCTTCCCTTTCCAGAGCTCTCTGTTTTGGGTCCCTGTATTTGTTTGCAGGGCCACCAGAACAAGGCACCCCAGACGGGGTGACTTAACCAACAGAGATCTGTCGTCTCGCAATTCTGGAGGCTAGAAATCCACGGTCAAGGTACTGGCGGGTGAAGCCATCCTCCTTGGCTTGTAGACGACAGTCACCGTCTTGCTTAAAGTCCCTGTGTCCTAACCTCTTAGAAGGACACCAGTGTTACTGGATTAGGGGCCTCCCGATGGCCTCATTTTACTTTAATCAGCCCTTTTAAGGCCCTGTCTCCAAAGACAGTCACATTCTGAGATACTGGGGGGGTTAGGACTGTGAAGTGTGAATTCAGGGAGGACAGCGTTAAGCCCATAACAGTCCCATTGCCCCAGGACCCTGCTCAGCCCCCCTGGACCTACTGTCTCAGTTTAAGACGTCAGGACCTTAGCGTTTCCCTCTCAGAGCTGCTGTGTTGCATTTCAAACATGAGCAGAACGGGCTTTCTCCTAATCAGAGTTAGGATCAGGCTACCAGCTTTGGGCCCCGAAGACAACGAAGACAACGAAGAGCAAAGCAGACAGAACACACCTCCAAGCAGGGTGTGGGGCATCTTCTCCCACACAAGCCAGTCACTGGGAGACCAGAAAAAGCAGCCTCATCCCAGGCTGGACCCCGAGGCCTCGGGCGGCCCTGGAGGTGGCGGGCATTCTGCTCTTCCCGGCTGCCCTTGGTGTACCCAGTCTCCTCGCAGGAGCCTCGCAACCTCTGCCTGGGGGTGAGGGCGCCACGGGGACGCCGGCGGCCTAGGGCAGGGACTCGCCTGGCCGCTGGAGGAAGCAAGTGATTGAAGTCAGTAAGTCTGCCTTCCACTCTTGCTCCCCAACTCACCTACCAGACAGCCCTGATGTCGTGGGCTGACTTGTGCCTTTTCCCCTCAGAGATGCTGCAGTCCCAACCTCGGTGCCTGTGAACGTGACCTTATTTGGAAATAGGATCTTGACAGATCATCAAATTAAGATGATGTCGTTGGAGGGGGGGGCCAGTCCAATGTGACTGCTGACCTCATAGAACGGGGAGATTCCGACCCAGAGCCTTACACGGTGAATTCCATGTGAAGATGAAGGCAGAGGTTGGGGTGATGTTTTACAAGCCAAGGAACACCAAAGATGGCCAGCAGAGTCCCAGAAGCTCAGGGAGACGCCAGCAAAGTCCCAGAAGCTCGGGGAGATGCCTGGGACAGATTCTCCCTCTCAGCCTCGGAAGGAGCCCACCCTGCCCACACCTTGACCTTGGATTTTATCCTCCAGAACTATGAGAGGTTCAATTTCTGTTATTAAGCCACACAATTTCTGATATTTTATTACAGCAGCCCCAGCAAACTAAGACACGCAGTGAAATTTTCACTCGGATTCCTTCTCCCTGCTGCTTAAACCTCATCGTCACATTTAGGAGTCAGGAGTCACCCTTTACTGGTGTCTGCCCTGTTCTATGCCTCTTCCTGAAGTTCGTTACACTACAAGCCCACCAGTCACCCCCACATACACATTCATCCACAGCCATACCCAATCCTTGGCTGCCCCAGGGCCTTTGCACCCACCGTCCCCTTCCTCTGGACTGCTCTTTCAAGTCTTTTTTTCATTTTGGTTTCAGTACAAACATCACCCCTTCTGGGAGGCCTCTCTGACACCCCGTCTAAGCCAGTGCTCCCCACTGCCCTGAGCCTGTGCTAGCCCTCATCCTGTTCCATTTCTTGCATGGAACTAATTGTGGTCTGCAATTATCCTGGTGGGAAAAATGAACAGAAAGGAAATAGAACCACTGGTAACGTTTTGGCATGTCTCTGATGAGATTATGTGTGGCATGATTTCAAGTCTCTGCTCTCCAAAGCTTCCACCGTTAACACGTATTATTTTCTAATCAACAGAGAGGTGATAGCTGCTCGCCAGATGGTCAGCAGTTTATTGGCATCTGTGACTTGAGCAGTGCTGGTTGGTGGCTGGCAGAACACTGCCCTTCTAGGTGGTTCTTTGGCAGGATTTCTTTCCAGACAACTGTGATGGCTTCAAAACACTTCCTTTGAATTCTTTGATTCTGTGTCCCTCCAGTCAGAATTAGGCTGACCTTGGTGAGATGTTTGTGACGGGACAGAAGGGACATTGTGTGACTTCCAAGGGCAGGTCAGAAAAAGCCCATTCTCTTCGGACACTTGCTCTGGGGGCATCTAGAGGAAACCAGAGGCCGTGTTAGAAAGCCTCCACCATGCTGGAGAGGCCACCTGCAGGTGCTCCAGCCACCAGCGCCATCCACCACCAGCCTGTGGACGAGCTGGTGGGGGCGCCATCTTGGACGTCCACCCCAGTGCAGTCCTGAGACGGCTGAACACCAACCACCATCCGAGTGAGAGCTGCCCCCCACACCTTTCCTGCCTTCTTGTCCCAAAAGGGCATGAGCACAGTAAAACAAAAATAAAATTGTTGTTTTACACCCCGAAGTTTGGGGTGATTGGTATTGTAGAAACTGGGCAGTAGTTCTCCACAGAGAAATAGTAACCTAGTCAGTTCGTAGGCCTGTTAATGACTGGTACCGTGTTAACAGCAGGGTTTGAGCCGAGTCATAGGCAGAAAGGACTCGGGGAATTCTCGCCCAGCGAGGTGAGCCTCAGCATCACACGTGTGAATCCTGAAGCCAGACGTGTTGTGTGACGTTTGTGCCAAATTCCATTTGGTTTGGGGAAACTACTTCAGAGTCTTTGGCCAAGGAGCTCCCCTGGTAAAGTGGAAACCCCAGGACTCGAGTCAGACAGCTCTGAGAACGTTCTGTCTCTGCTCTGTTACTTTATCAGGCATGCATTTGGTGGCAGTTAAGAGGATGCTTGAGTAACCTGGATTTTAAACAGATGGGATTGTTTTTCTCACAGAAATCTGGAGTAGGCTTTTGCTGGCATTGCTTTAGCTGATTGAATAACATCATCATTGGGGCCCAGGCTGTGTTAGTGCCCAGACTCATGGTTTTTTAATTGTTAGGAGTGTTTTGGTTTTTTGTTTTTGTTTTCGTTTGCCTCAGGGTCACAAAATGGCTGCAGTAGCACCAGATACACTTCTGCTAACAGGTCAGTGAGAAGGGAAGAAGCAAGAAAAGTCATGCTAGTCACATCTTTTCATTTTGTTTCTTCATTTGTTGAGAGGGGTTTTGTTTGTTTGTTTTACAAAAAAAGCAAGTTTTTCCAGAGGTCCATGTAGCAGTGTTTTCCTTAAGTTTCATGGGTCAGAACTGGATCAGGTGGCTTTCCCTAGCTGCAGGAGAGGCTGGAATTGGGAAACAGCTCATTCCCATGACTGTCTCAGATAATCACACTCATCACTTGGGGCTGGTGCATTGCAGCCTTCAAGTCAAGTTGTTCTTAGCGAGGAAGAAATAGGGGGTGAGTTTTGGATACTCGGTGGGAAGTGTCCACTCCAGCCACCTGACCAGGTTATGCTTTAGTGTCTTTGAACAAGATCCTTGAGCCTGCTGTTTATAGAACAGAATGACACTCAGCACCCAGCAGACTGGCTCACTTTCGAAGGATGTCCTGAATGAAGGCACTTCTGGAAGACAGCCAGGCTGCCTCATCTACCCAAATACATTGCACACAGTCTAGAATTAACGTGCTGATGGGTTATGTGGTGGGCACACAGTTCTGGCTCTGAGACCAGCAGTCTGCTTCCAAGGGGGAAGAAAACAACAAAACTGAATGCTCTAGAAAAACCTGAGTGCTGCAAGTCATAATCACGTCCGTGGATGAAGCGAGCTGCCCTCTGTATTGGGCTGCGGACCCCAGGTGCTTCCATCCGCCCTCCGCCCATGGCTCATTCACATCCCGAGGTTATGAAGCCCAGCGGGGGATAGCGGTGCCCCACTCCCGCCCACCCCACTCTCCCGTCTCTTTGCATTTTCTCAGTGGCACTGGCACATTCATTTCTCTAGAGTTTCTACCTTTTTTATAGGATCATTACCTCCCTCAGAAGTGCGTCTGGGCCAGTGTCCATGGGCGAGCCCCAGCTGTGTTTCCCAGGACAGTGGTACCCAGGTCGCCCTGGGACGGCAGTTCCTAGGCCACTAAGGCAGATGCCTCCTCTCCTCTTGTCTGTTCTTGTCGTCAATCAAGCTGATTCTCTCGCCAGAATTGCTCCTTGCTGCGGTGCCTTCGCCTGACAGAGAAATCCCTTCCACTGCCAGCTCCCAGGAGGCCAAGCCCTTGACTCCTAAGCAGAATGACTCGTTAAACTTCCATTGCCTTTCAGAATGAACGCGGCTGCAGAAGAGCATTTTTCTACACCTCCTCCTGGAAATCATGCATAAGGAACAAGGAGAATTTTAAAACCCCATAAACTCCATTTTTGGGGAAAGCAGAAAATAGACATAGTCCACAGACTACAGCATATGTGGAGGGGCGACAGAGAGGCCGGGCTTGGGACGGGCTGCCCGGGAGGGAGGGAGGAACGTGACGGCGCAGGGGACACCGGCGGCCGTGGAGGGAAGCACGGCCTGTGCAAAGTGCAGCCCAGGATGAGGGTCCGCCCTTAGCCCAGCAGTGGCCCCCATGTCTACGGCGGCCAGCACGGGGCTGGGGTGGAGGCGCTGGGGGCTCTTCCGGACCAGGTTTGGCTCTGAGAAGCAGAGGAGGCAGGACAGTAAAGAGTGGGTGAGAATCAGGGAGATGCAGATCAAAACCACAGCAAGATACCACCTCACACCTGTCAGAATGGCCGTCATCAAAGAGAACACAGATAGCAAATGTTGGTGAGGATGTGGAGAAAAGGGAACCTGCGCACTGTTGGTGGGGATGTAAATTGGTGCAGCCACTGGGGAAAACAGTATGGAGGTTTCTCAAAAAACTAAACATGGAACAACCATATGACCCAGCAATTCCACTCCTGAGTGTATATCCAAAAAAAAAAGCAAAAACACTAATTTGAAAAGATACATGCACCTCAGTGTTCCTAGAAGCACTATATACAGTAGCCAAGATGTAGAAACTACCTAAGTGCCCACCAACAGATGAATGGATAAAGGTGTGGAATATATACACCACGGAATACTACTCAGCCATAAAAAGGATTAAATGTTGCCATTTGCAGCAACATGGAGGGACCTGGAGGACATTAAACTCAGTGAAACAAGTCAGACAGAGAAAGACAAATACTATACAATATCACTTATATATGGAATGTAAGAAATACAGTAAGCCACTGAATATAACAAAAAAGAAACAGACTCACAGATACAGAGAACTAGTGGTCCCCAGTCGGGAGACGGAAGAGGGAGGGGCGGTATAGGGGTAGGAGGGACCAAAGGGTTATTATGAGATTATATGAAACCATCTGTGAATCTTTTGAAGACTGTAAAGCCTTATAGAATTTAAAATGTCTTTCATTCAATTAAAAAAAAATAGAATAGATGAGACATAGCCTCACGCAGCAGGAGAGAAGAAACACCCACCTGGCGCTCACAAATTTCACTCTGCACCCCTCAGGGGCCTCCCACAGAGGCTGCTGTGCGTCTCCCCAGATTCCGTGTCTCCTTTTCCCATGTGCTTGGCGTGCTGGCCAGGCACATGGCCACCCATGTGGAGACCACATCTCCCCGCCTCCCTTTTGGCTTGGCGTGGTCATGTGACTTCTAGGGACCAATGGGATGTGAGTGGAAGGGACATACATGGCTCTGGCCTCAGACAAACCACCCTTTTTGGATGTTGGCCTTTCTCTGTTCTCCAGAGGCTGGAATGCAGACGAGGTGGCAGTACTGCTTCCACGATGCTGGACGTGGACTGGAACGGGGCAGGGCAGCAATGGAATGGAAGGGCCCTGGGCTGTGGGTGACTTCATGGGTGTGGAGCACCCCCTCCAGCAGCCAGGACTGAGACCACTGGACTGGCAGGTGAGGGACGGGCTTCTCCCCTACATAAGCCACTGGTTTCTGTATCCTCAGCCCACATTCTGTATGGTACATCCTCCCTGTAAACGTGCACCTGGAGGAGGGGTGTGGCCATAACCTGAACTAGTGTCACAGGCTTAGTCGAGGGCGGGCAGGGGGCGAACGTTTGTTCATTGAATTTCTAGAAACTCATGCTCTTGACTGTGCGAGTGTTTCTAGCTGGAAGACGTGCTCAGGTCTGAAAACAGCCGCTCGTTAGCTGACCTGACGTTTCCCGTCCGTGTTCCTTGATGACGTTCTGTAGAAGAAGCTCTTCTTCTCCCCAAATACAGTTTCACCTGAAGTGCCAGCATAAAAAGAGAGGGAAGCGGGTCTGACTGTGGTGGGCTCGGAGGGCACAAGGACCCCCTCCCCCCTTGTCAGCCCGTCTCAGGGATCCGAACAAACCTAGCTCCAGTGAAGGTGATGAATTTCACAGCTCTCTGTGGTCCGCCTTGGACCCCTTTATCCAGAGCAGAAATCACAGACTCACTGTGAATGCACACAGCGGCATGGAGGAATCTCACAAACGTTTTGCCGAGTGGAAGAAATTGGACACGGAAAAGTCCATACTGTTGTGTCCCAGGCACGTAA